TGGAAGTTTCATGTTAAATTCTGGTCTTCCTTCAAAACCAGGTTCACCTGGAGCAATTCCCTCAACGTCAGTGGAGTTATTTTAGTTAAGTAGCTAGAGTAAGAGATGTCAACCACTGACCTTAAGACGGCACTTTCAAAAGGCTAATATCTTTTTCTCTATTTACATTTTCATGTTTCCTTAGTGACCATTTTTCCTCATTAAAGAAAGCCACTCTAAAAGCAAAAGCCAAGCATGCCTCAACCCTTAAAAACCACAGTTGGGCCTGGTTTAAGTGACAGACTGTGCTGAAGGATGCAAAAGCACCATCAGGCAACAAGAATTGCCAGAGAGGACCCTGGCCAACTTAGTCACAATGCCACAAAGCACTCTACAACTGCAGCAATCCTATGAGCTGAGAGGAGTGCAGCCTGCTTCAGATCTGCGGTAAGCTTATGGACTAACGGACAGTGCAGCAGAGCCTTTCAGCAAACCTCACACCATTGGGTAGTGGCCCAAGTGGTAGGAAAAGACCAGGGCCCACGTGCAAATGAAATGAAGACAAGACCTTGCTTTCTCCCCTAAAGTAGGGCACAGCCGAGTCCCTCAATATTTGACATATCACAGAAATTATATAAAACTGGTTGTAATGCCCTGCTTTCATGTTTTGCATTTCTATGATAGCAACAGATCTCATGAAGAAGAAATCATAGTGAATTTTTAAAGACCGAATTATAGCTGAGCTTTGGTCTCTCCCTAGTTATGCTACCCTTGTGTATATAACTCCATAGCTGACCCAGGTAAGTTGCAGTACAACATGGAATTAAATAGGGCAACATTTGCTCTCTGAAATACTCTTCTCCAGTCCTCACTCACCAAGGAGCATATGCATTATGAATCAAGATGGCAGCATCACCCTCACATTAAAGGGATACTAGCAATTCAGTGAAGGAGACAAGTAATGAAAGATAAACTACTTTATTTCCCCCAGTTATTTTCAGTGTAAAACTGAGACAAAGGGAAAATGCCATATTTCCTTGAATATAAGATGACCCTGAATACAAGCCAACCCCCCAATAATTAGATTCTGTATATGGAAAATGTATATAGCTGTTATAATTTCTCAGGTATAGAATCTAAGTATTGAAGGTCTGTCTTGAATCTGCCCCTTCCAACCATGACATCAGAGAAAACAAATCTGGGAAGGTCAAATGACCTCCCTACAGAATCCCAAAGTCTTGCGACACAGGCCAAAAAGTGTACATTTCATCCAAGATGTAGAGATCTTCCTCCATGTGAGGATCAGATGGGAGTGTTTCCTTGGGGGCGGGGGGAAGAGACAGAATGGGGAATAGCATGATATGCCAGACAGATTGGGTCATGGCGAGAATAATTTTTATTTGTACATCCCCATTCCAAGCTGGCCTGTTAAGTTCCCATTAATGATGCTTTTTCTAGTATTAATGAGTGCTTGTTTACACTGGACACAGGTTATACCTGAATTTGTCAACTTTTTTGCTTTGTATATCACCTACTTCCTAAGGCGTGTGATAATATAAAAATCCAGATAACTTATTCAAGGAGATGAAAAGATTCCAGCAGCCATCTTCAAGAATGGCAACTCTTTCCATCAGTTTAACTAATGACAATAAGATGAATCATTGCAGAAGTTGTGTAACTAGTTCATACATTGACAGCACAGTTAAAACTCACCATGAAGGGAAATTTTAGGAAACTAACTATATCTCCAATCCATAATAGTAAAACACATGTTTCATGCTACGCAGGGGCTGCTTTCCTGAGCTGGGCTCAACTGATTTGCTGTCATGAGATTTTTTTTTTTGTTTAAATTTACAAAGTTAATTTATAGCAACCAGCTGCTGCTGTCTGTAGTAATGTGGCAAAAGGAAGAACACACCCAAGAAAAAATTAAGCCCATAAAAAATTAGTAGCATAAGCACAAAATAACTTGGCTCAACTCTTTATTTAATCTTGTCCCACTAGATACAATCCTCTTTTGGGAATTAAACTAGGCCAGGTACAGACATTACACTTTTACTAGTGTAACTGATTGGAAACTGGTCTATACCCATAACAGAACAAAAGCTTGGCGCACAGACTGGTCTAAGATTTTCACCCCCCAAGGGCAAATGTGTGTTCAGTTTGCTACAGATCTTTCAAGCTTTTTGAATATCCATACCTACCCATAATCTGTAGTTCATTTGACCTAAACATCAAAAAGATGCAAAGCAGTACATGAGGCAAAGTGATGCTGGCAGTGTGATTCTCTGCCTCTATTACTTGATCTGTAATAGAGAGATAGCATTTATTCCTCACCTGAAGCTCTTTAAGGTTTAAAAAAGAAAACCAGCAGAGAAATATAAAAACTAATTTCCATTCTGCACTATCTGTCCCTTTTATAATTATTTGCATAGTACAACTCAACCCTGGCAAAAAAGAACCTCATAGTGATCTTGTGATACAAAGTGACATGTCTAAAAATACATAAAAGTGAACGAAAACACTGGCGATGTGAATGACTTCCGTGATTTTCCTGGACTGCTTCTTTGTACCACCTCACAAGCGTGAAATATTTTCTTATATAATGGAGTCAAACCCCACTTCCTAATCAAGGCTTCTCACGTAGTCTGTCACTCTAGAAATAGAGTCCAACTATTTTACTACCAACTGCCAGCAAGGTCAATCTTGTTGCAGAACAACGTGCTGCCAGTTCTCTTCCACTGATCATTTGCACTATGCTGAAGAGGTAATAAAGCATCATTTTAATCCTGGGTGGCAGTCATCAGATAGTATATGTAAGTGTTCAAGGCTCATATGTGCAGCTCTGAAGGTTTGAAAAAGGAAAAAAGGTTTGAAAAATGGAAAAAGGATTCAGTGGCTCTCAATAGGCACAGATTTCTCCACAGGGGTATCCACTTTCTGCTTAACTAAGACACGCACTTTGGGGACAAACCAAAATCAGACATATTTAAGTCATGTCTCAGAATGCACTAATTTGCCTTCATTGTGCCACAAACAAACAATTTAAAATTATTATACAATAAACCTGTTAGTTAACAATACAAAAGAACAAAGGCAAGGGCACAGGAAGGCAGGGAAAGCTATTACAACATCAATTACAAGACAAAACTCACTTGACTGCTACATGCTTTCAACTGTTTAGCATGGTGTCATGCATAAGGCAAATATTCATTTTCTACATGGCAGAAAAGTACATTCTTATGCTTAAAACCTTTTACCTTATAGATTTTTCTATAAAATTTTACAATATGCATTTTAACGGTCTTCTTTAAAAGATATTTAAAGCTTCCTGGGGTAGATTATTATGGGGTGCTAAGGAAGTATTTGCAAGCTCAAGAAGGCTAACTGGGTTCAGAAATTACTTGCATTTTGTAGGTCATTACAGATACCTTAAATTTCAGCTGGAACCCAGCCAGAAGCCACAACAGTCTACAGAGCATCAGTGTAACAGTTTTGGTCCCCCCAAAGAGGGTATAGTAGTGCTTAAGTGACTAGGGCTAGATTTACAGAAGAACAAAACATGGCTCTTAGGCGTAGGTGCTACCTGAACATTTGGGACCAGCCAGGATTGAAGGCGGCCCCCAAATTTAGAACCTGATTACAAAGATCAAGTGCATTCCCCAAAAGTTCTGATCCTGAAAATGGAGCTACAAGGACCAACTCTCCCCCACAGAGGCGTGCACTTCTGAATCTCCCAGCAGTACTAGAATCTAACTCAGTACATCCAACAAGCTTGGAGGTCTAACAGAGTGGTAAGGAGCGAATCAAATAGTGCCCTAAAACTTTATACACACCACAAGCCTAGAATCCAAAAGAACTGGAAGGAAACGAGCTTGCCCACAAAAAGCACACTGATCTATATGGCTAGGCCATTAGACTAGCCTTCAATCAAGTCTTTCATGCAGATCCTTTCAACCACCACACTGATAATCATTTTTCCTGCATTTATGGCATTTTCTCTTTGTACTTGAAAATCAAAATGCCACAGAGCCATTACAGTGATTTGTGGGATGCAAGTGTAATACCATCAACAATTTTTGAGACACACATGGCTATTCAAGATTCCATTTAAACTCACCCCACACATTTACTGGAGAGGAAAATACAACATCCAGTCTACTACTATTAAAATACACAAAAGGGTTTGATATATTAAAAAATTAAAAGCATATTTTTGCCATTTAATAACATTTTTTTAATTAAATAATTTTAACATGGATCCTTCGATCAGGCTCAAGTCCTGTGAAATGGCCACAGAATAGGTTTAATATATCCCAACCAAGCAAGGCTGCTTGTCTAACCATTTTAGTTTACAGAAGATGTAAAGAAAATCTACCAGTAAGTATATTCAACCATCTTACAAAGGCCTTATGTGAAATCTAGAAATGACTGTTTTTAAGTGACCAGGGACTTGACACATCTTAAACAGTAAAATTTTCTTTATAACCTTGCCTTCTTATGGCTTTTAGCATCACTAAAATAGGCAATTAAATCACACTATTTTTTTTAAACAGCACTTGTTATCCTGCAGTTTTTCCTACTCTAATGGCAATAGATAAGTAATAGTGTCTTTTGTAAATAGTATTTGAGTATTAGCACATGGGCACAGAGACAAGTTACTGGAAGGTAAACTGGGATTCAAATGTAGTTGTTACCTAATTCGTAGTATCTGTCTGCATGTATGTTTTTAGCTTATGGTAAAACAAGAGGTGGCCTTGGCCCTTGTGAAAAAGTAGAGTAAGCTACCTCAGATTTACCATTGGGTAAGAGCCTACATATAGACAAGCAGGTGACACACTACAAGGACACCCAGCTTACCTAATGCTAGTCTATATGCCCATACCCTGTATGCCCTGGATCCTTCTCCCAATAGGAAGTAAAGAATATCCTTGGCCAAATGAATCAGTGATAATGACCTCAGATGCAAACCTACTTCTTTAAAAAAAAAAAAAATCAATTTTTTTCTGGATGCTGCTTACCTGTGAAATATAACCTGGAGGCACATGGATAGGTGGGATGGATCCATTGGGTGACATCATGGGAACCTCTGCTGGTCCTAAGGGAATAAGGAAAAGACATTTTTTACAAAATTAGTACAATTGTGCTAAAATGGTGTCACATTAGAAACCTGCAACAATTGTAACTGAACAATCCACATAATTTCCAGTGTATAGCTAATTTCTCTTAAAGCAGTATATTCAGGTTGAGGACACCACTGTATAGCAACTTAAAGAAGTTTTTGTTGAATGAGTGTTTTCACTGTTGCAAAAGAGCTAAAAATATAGCCTCTCTGTTGTTATCCACTGAGCAACGCGGATATAGTCAGACAGAAACATTAAATGCCCTTTCATGGACCACAATTTCTACATCAATAACGTGAATAAATTTCTCTCATTAGAAATCCAAGGAAATTCAGACTGCAGTTTCTGCCACATTCTAGGCAGCTTTCAAGTAAAGCCTCCAATTGCACTATATTTCACATATATGTGAATGACTATTTAAGAACACACAAAGACCAAACTAATTATTTCAGCAATTCAGATGAACCTTGGAATTCAGTTATATAATCAAGGCGCTTATGGTTTCCATTTCAGAACGTAGCTCTGGATGTGCAAGTTCCATTCCGAGGTACGAGAGCACGACAAAGCAAGTACCATAAACATTAGGCTATTGCAAACTGAACCACACAACTAAAAAAATTCCTAGGTAAAATGGAAAAATTAGGACTTGTTTACTCAACATTTTGAAGTAATATTTATATACAAGCAGTTAAGACTAGGACAGGCAATTAATGGCCATGCAGAACAACCACAAGACAGGAAGCTACCCCAGTCAACCAAACCTTCTCAAAGGGGTTTTACTGGATTGTTCTGAAAAAGTAAGGTGAGATGTAAGAACTGTCCTCTTAGGTGAGCAACAAGAAATATTCTAAGTAGTTATCCTACTGGCACCTGCTAGCAATGCTAGAATAATGTCTATTGACAGCTTCATAGTGTTTTTAATTCTCAAAAGAACCGAGCCAGCGGTTCTGAACCTTTTCAGACTCTAGGCACCCCTCGGAAAATGCTAGCTCTAGGTTTTCACTTGTTTTCTGACCATGGAATAATACTAGACGAATTTTTCTGTTGCAAGCATCTCAGCAAGACAACAGGTCAGAAGAGGTTTGATACTGCAGATTCCTATTTTCAGTCTCTGGGTTTATCTTGTGAATCATGTTTCAAAGCTAACAGCGTGAACATTGCGTGGCATCCCACAGCAGACTTGCTTCCCAGCCTTTGAGATGAAATGCAGCGGTCATTTAACAGTGCACCCCCAGACTACACAGCATTTTAGAGAACAACACTGCATCCAGTGATGATCCACTGCCTGTCAGCCACCAAAAGTGGCCAAGACCTTACTTTCTCATTTCACCCAGTAGCTGAGACCCTCAGTGCCCTCTGATCACCCATTCTTATTCCTCTGTATCTTGTTCCTGTGTGTTACCGTCCGCGAACGGAGGAGAAAGTTACACATTAGTGAGCAGGTACAACACACTTTCCAGAAGGTAAAATGGGAACGGCTGGCTGTTGTACACCTAATAAATGTACAAGTGAAACACTATGTCTACCTTTTGCGCTTCCCTACAGTCTGCTTCTGCTAAACCACAGTCCTGTCTTCTAGTTTTCTTCATGAGCAGTTACACCGATGGACCAGTATGCACCATTTACATGTTTTCCAAATTTGGCACGTTTGTCTTCAATTATATTTACTGTTATCTGTTTAAACTACCAGCTTACCTTAGGCATAGAAAGCTTTGATAGTTTAACTATTAGCAAGTTGGCTAATTGTTAAGAATGTGATAAATTAACTTCTGAAAGGGTAAACATGTGGTAGCCCCATAAAAAACAAGAATTTAACAGAGGGAATTTCAAACATCACCTCTTCTCACCCTTTTCTGTACTTAACCAAGCAGGGGATTGGAAATGCAGCACTTTCCCTCCCTCCCCCAATTAAGACCAAATTCTGATGAAAAAAGAAAAAAAATAAAAATAAAAAAAATCACCCATTTAACTATGGCACTATATACAATTTAAATCTAATGCACTCTGGAATTTCTATTCAGATAACACAACACACAGTAAACTTCTTTTCTTTGATATGTTTCAGGGGAAAAGGAAAAAAAACCCATCAAACACATGGTCAGTGTGCAATTAATTTGAAGGCGTTATTGCAACCAGCAAATAGCTCCATTTTAGCTCATCAAGAAACATAAAATACTTCATACTAGTATTTTTCAGAGTTGCCATGTCAGTATCTATATTCTTACTATCTAAATTCTCTATGGATTTTAAATTTTGGGAAATAAAAATTTCAATTTTTGTCCTAAACCACTGAGGGCTGCCAACTCTCCCCCCAGAAATGGGTTTATTACAGCATATCTATAACTACACATACCACCTAATACATACAAACAGAGTCAAATTTTGATCTGAGAATCTGAATCACACTAAATTACAAAAATGTTACTGAACCCTTCAAAATGAAGCATGCTTAAGTATATTAAAAAAAGGGGAAATAACTGAAGGTACGTGAATTCTTCTTTAGTTGTTTCTGCAAGTTTTTTTTTTAAATACTTGAACAACTGTTAAAAATATTCCAGATAAATGGAAAACTTCATAATCTGGCATTTACTGGACCAATAATATAGGTGCTGCATTGGATTAAACAAACATTTCTTAATACAAAAAAAGTGCATAGCATTTCAAGCAACTGAAGCCCTCTTCAAAACTGGTTTAGTTCCTAATCATAAAATATATACTCAGACTTTGAACTAAATTGAAAGAGCAACACAGCAGGTTCTAATTGCTTCTCAGGTAACTAAAAGACACTTAACTCCACCTTCTTTAGATCCTGTTATACTAAAACATCTGCCAACTGCTCATGTGGAAGAACAATCTTCTTTCAGGAAGAAATCAAACCCCCACACTGATACTGTTGACTGTAACACTTCCACTTCAATAAAAGAAGATTGTGTTTTATCATCAAAATGTGCACCATGCAGTCAGACTCTTAGCCTCAGGCATGACCTTAAACTCCTAAAATCATTTGGATAACAGGTTTTAAAGGACTTGGGACAGGTGAGTGATTTACAGCTCGGAAAGGGTCTCTTCGATTCCTTGATTTCAAGGCTGGCCAAATTGCTTTAGCACACATTATTCTTCCCTCATCGCTGTTATCAAAACAACTTCAAGGGGTATTGCGTAATACAGAGAAACCATCTCCGGCGTGTGACAAGTCCTGGGAACTCTTAAGAGTCCGCTCTCTGCAATAAAACTAGCCTCAGTGACCATTAAACACACATGAGGAAACAAAACAACGTTATTTCCAATCAGCTTAAATATTTATAGAATTGTCAAGGAACACGGGACTTCCAGGCAGAGCTCTGCCCGTCTCCGTTTTTTAGGATCACACCCACATTTCCTTCCGGGATTTGCACCCCGTGGGTTTCATTTCAAGTGGGTGGCTGGAATCAAACTCCAAAATTCAAAGCAAGGCTTAAGCAAAACAGTCAAATTTCATCTTGTTTCAATCTAATGGCGTAACCTGGCACCAGGTTGGCTTGAACAGTCTATGACCCTTTCATTAACAAGCCATGGCTGCATCCAGCCGTTCTAGCATGACAAAGCCAGGAGACTTCTGTACATCTCTACTCGGAGCACCAGAGGCCAAACTCTCCTCTGAGTTATACTGGTGTGAATTCAGCCTACCTCCACGGACTTTCAAAGGTCTGTGCACAAAATGAAAAAGCCAGCCCTGTTCAAAATGGAGAAGGAACTGGACTCTATATTTTAACTGTACAGGCCGGAGAGTTGTACAGCAACCACCAGACCGAAGCCTGGGGCGTGTGTAAGGGGGTAAAGACAGCGAGTGCTCTCCCTTCGGATAGTCACCAAGTGAGGAAGGTATCAGGTTTATCACACATCATAATCAGAATCCATTCAACGTTGGCAACTCAGAGCACGATCCAGTGATAATACCCTTGCAACCATTCCAGTACCCGCCCTTCTTACAACATGTGGACACAGGACCGAGCTCACGAGGCTGCAGTCCTATTTTGCTAACTTTCCTTTCCCAGCCATTTCTTTTGCACTCGTTATTAACCGGTAGGTTTAGCCCTGGGGCAAAAAGTTGCTTGGTAAAGTTTATAAATCAGGCTCTACCAAATTCACGACAGAAGTGGGCCGCACGGTGGCTCCTTTCATCTTGCAGGTTCACCCGCATGTCCCTCTCCCCCCACAACAATCACAAGGGCCACTGGGGCCACTCAGCAACAGGGGAGAAAGAGGGGGTACACGGGGGAACCTGCAAAATTAAAGGAGCAGCCATGCAGCCTACTGCTGCCATGAATTCAGTAGGGCCACTATTTATAAACCTTCTGTACTTACGCTAATAGCATCAGAATTTCTACTGCCCGTTCTGTTGCTTACATATTCATTTCCCTATAAAAGCACACGTGTAGCTATGGTATAGCATGTTTCCTATAACTTCGCGTCATTTTTTGAAGCTACGTAAATGATAGGTTAATAGCAACACATTCCCTGCTTCTACTTCTCTCCGGAAATGTGTCCAGCTCTATCACAGACAGACAGGCAGAAAGCTCGTCAACTTTCCCGCTCCTCCAAGTACCGTATCATGTCTTGTTTAAGGAAATTCCACCAAATTGCTGAAATGCTAATAACCTCAATTTCAGCCCATGATCCCTTTTTCTGAATTAATTACTGTACAAAAGACTTTTTTTTTTTTTTTTTTGGCAAAAACAAGATCCTTCTTTCCTGTTCCTGTGTGACCTCTTTTATACTCACGAAGTAAGTCTCTCCTTAGTTTACTTTCTCTAAATTTTAGAGACCAATTATGGCAAGTTTTTTTCCCCCCGTTTTCAGTTGCTTCATACTATGCCATTGCACCTTGCCAGCTTTTCTTCCCATGTAGCAATAGACAGCATGTCTCAAATGAGGCCTCTCTACAATGGCACTAATTTATATTTAATTTCCCCCCGTTACACCTAAATATATGGCT